TGCTGAAGGTTTATACTCCTCCGTTGTGAATATCGACACATTTTGATTTCACGGAGTTTAAGAAAAAATTGAAAAATAAAATTGGACGGGTTCATGCATTTGTTTAGGAAACGAGGGAGGAATTACTCTTCTACCCCTATTGAATTATTTCTCTAGGAGTATTGTATAAGGTCATGATGGAATTACTCTTCTACCCCATCCATTCCCCTCTATCCTCTTTTAACAAATCCAAGACCTTTTGTGTCTGTTCTTGGCTGGTGCTCAAGTTTTATGTTTTAAACATTACTACATTTTTTTTCAATCCAGTATGTATGCTTATGCTTTTGCATTTGATGACGACGACGATGACGATGCTGAAGGTTTATACTCCTCCGTTGTGAATATCGACACATTTTGATTTCACGGAGTTTAAGAAAAAATTGAAAAATAAAAAAGTGAATGGTTGAAAATTGTTTACAATAAATATGAAAATTGTGGACCACATATTTTTTGTTTTATTAAGGAAGCAAAAAAGCTTGACAATTTTTTGGGATGAACGGAAAAGAAAAGTGAGATAATTAATTTGGGATGAAAGGAGTATATAGATATTCTTTATAGTATTGATGGAATTCGAATAATTTGGAAAGAATTGAAAGAAACTGGGTGAAATTGAAAGAAATTAGAAGACATTGAAAGTTAGGTTTTTTTCGACTGAAAGAACATGATCAATGTTGATTTAGTCAAAATGAGAGTGAAATAATGAACAGAGCAACACCTATCCGTTTGTATTGTTCACCAACACAAATATTTTTGAAAATCGCATTCCAAGCCAAATCCTTATTGCATTTTGAAAATGAGAAGAAAGAGAAGAAGAAGCTTTCCAAAATGCAGAGTTGAAATAGATGCTGTAATTTTTACAGAGTAATTTTGATCTCGGAGGTTAAAGAAGATCTCCCGAGGTTGAAGAAGAGGTTATGTGCTGTTAGCGAAAGAAGAGTTTATAAAAATGTGTCCGAAAGGTCTACAGAAGAGTTTGTTTTGGTTGTTGTGCCCAATCTATTTAAGAAATTAAATTGGAAAAGTGCTGTAATAATGTATATGAAGTTATTGATCAAGGAATGTTGTGTAATTTATTAAGTACTCCATAACTATATTAAAATCATTTAATTTGATATGAAACTATTGGTTAAATGTGTGGGATCAATGTGTGTAATTTAGATAAAATATATAAGTATGATTCAAAAAGTATAAAAAACAAATGAAATAAGAATTTTTTTTTGTTTGAATTTGATGTGATCATGTGAATGGTTGCAAATGAATTAGTGTATGATTTGATATTTAGTGCATTTTGATTTTGAGTTTGGACTAAATGAGTGAACATTCTCTTAAACAACAAAATATCCTTTAATGCGGTTTCATGATAGACCCTCTCGGGGCGAGACATCTAGTCCCTATTTAGAAATGGACGGATATAGACAACTGAGGCAATGCGAGTTTGCTATCCTGGCCCACAACATAATATAGATCTACTTAGATTTTATGTTTGGCCCACATTGACCAACTAACTCGCCCACATTCTATACATTTAAACATGTAAATGCACAATATATTATAAATATGAAGTATGACTTTTTGGTATATTATTTGAAATAGTTATAATATTATAATGATTTATGGTGCAAGAATAAAATTATAGTCATTTAATATATAAAAACACTCCGTATTAGATTCAAATATTTATATACTCGGCATATTTTAATTAAAAGTATTTTTTATAGAGTACTTTCTATGTCCCAGTATATTTGTTCAGTTTGAATTTTTTTGAGTCAAACTGAATGAATTTTGAAATTCAAATAAAAACCTTAATGTATATTTGTATAAAATGACTAATTAGATTTATCTTGGAGAAATTACTCTAAATAGGACTAAAACATAGAAAAAATATCAAAATAGGAGTTCCATGTTTTTATTTTCGAAATAAGAGTTCATATTGTGGTAATGTGGTGATAATGTGGTACTGTAAATTTGCACATTACTATACTTTTTGGTAATGTACATGATTATGTTTGGTAATGTAAATACATTTTAACTTCTATTTCGAGAATAAAAACATGGAAATCCTATTTTGGTATATTTTCAATGTCTTACTCCTTTTTTTGTCTTTTTCTCTTTATCTTGTTGAAAGCTTTCAAAGTTTTATTTAATTATATTAATATGTAATACAAAATGAGAGTAATTAAAATTTGAAGTTTAACTAATTTGACTAAAAAAGGTCAAACTAGATAAATACACGAAAAATGGAGGTAATATTTAAAAGAATTATGAGCTAGTCCGTTATGTGACGTGTTTGGATCATCTACACAATTGAACTTGAGCATAATATTTTGTCCAAATATTGGAAGCGGGCATAGCCGCCTAAATATCTGGTCAAGCCCAACCTAGATGTGGCACGATCCTATTGTGTAGCCGTGTAGGTCTATTTAACGAGTCGGTTATATGACTACTGCTTTTCGATGGTCACAAAAACCACTGCTCCGCTTCTGGTATTTACAGTAATTCGTTCTTAAAATTGATAGTTCTATCCTCGTTCCGACAAAAAAAAAATAATCACAAAGTCCACTTAACCTACGAGATGCAATTAATATGGGTGTAGATGTGCTGTGGTCGGAACTAGGTTGGGGTTGGGGCCTTGGGGGTTCCAATTTTATGAAGGAGAAAGTAGAGTGGCAGTCAACTCCCTATTCTGCATTCTATGTTCTAACCAAGACAAAGATCACATCTTTGGAGTAAAACCATGTCCTCCTCTTCCCTGTTATCTCGACTGCGTTCCTCTTCAAGATTGCTTTACAGATACAATGCTTTGAAGAATCTGTTTTTCCAAAAAAGGGCTCATTCAGGCAGCCTCGCAGAGGGGAAAATCCGCTCAGAAAAGGCACACCCAGGCTTCTCATGGACTTCTGGCTCTTTAGTTCCCCTGGCCCTTGTAGTCTCCGCTGGTTCACTCGCTCTACATGCCCAGACCGGCCAATCATTTAGTCTCTGCGATTCTCCCAATATACATCCCAGGTTTTTCCCATCCTTTTCTTGCAAGATTGATTTTTTTTAATTCTTAAAAAAAAACCACGTATAATCCATGGGGTTTAAGGAATTCATTTGTTGTTGAAATGTTGAGTTTTTTTCACTAATTTATTTATTGATGAGGTATTGATTTCTGTGTTTGGGTGTTGAAGTGAGGAAGATGGTGGCAAAGACAAAATAGATTATGTTGTGAAGGGTTCTCACATATGTGTTCCACGAGAGCTTATTGACGAAATGAAAACATTTTGTGAGGTATTTTAGTTCCTTCTTTCTCCCTATACATAATGTTCTGGGGTTTAGGTTTCTCATTTTATTAATTTTCTCTGCAGTTATTTTAGATTTAATTTTCTTGTGTTCAAAGCGGTTTTTTTTGGGAATGGTGATGGGTATTTGTAAAAACAAGAATTTAATTGGCTTTGTTTTAATGTGAAAGGGTGGATTTCCTTCGTTCACTGGTCTGGAGGTGAGTTGGTAATAGTTTGTTATGTAGGATAATATGACAATGGACTATGATGAGAGATATAATCACGGGAATCCACGAAATAGTTTTCACATGGCAGTGAATATCCCCGATGTTGTGGTTTTCCCAAGGTTTGTATGGATCTTATGCATTCACATTGCACACACTATACTTAGTATGAATCTTTTCAAAGAAATCTTAACTCAAGACTTGCCTATTGATTTATGTTCCGATTAATGGTTTGATGGAAGTCATTGAGATCGCATGCAAGATGAATCCCATATGACTCAAACTATAAATAATCTTCGTTCTCATAAAGAAAATACAAGTATCCTTTTGTTGGACTGTTGGAGATAGACAGATACTATGTAGAGCTTTCTCTCTTATATGCAGGTCAGAGGAGGAGGTATCTAAGATAGCTAGAGCTTGCAACAAGTTTAAGGTTTGAACCCCTCCTTATGTAGTTTGAATCATATTAAATTCATTTATTTCATTTATATCACTTTTGTGCTCCGCTTCACTTTTGTTATTTTACTGGTTTAATGCGATGTAAACAGGTACCGCTTGTACCTTATGGTGGAGCCACATCTATTGAGGGTCACACCTTATCTCCTAATGGGGGCGTTTGCATTGACTTGACATTCATGAAAGTATGAAATTCCATATAATAATAATATAAATAATAATAATTGTCATCTGTAATGCTTTCGCCGGATAACTTGATTAATGCTTAATTCTGGAAAATGATTGGTTAGTTTTCTCTCTCTATAAAAAGGATCATGTTATATCTAAGAGTGAGTGGGGAAAAATGATTTCTTACCTAAGGTTAAGATTTTATTTATTCAGTAATTTTTAAATCATTTGCAGCGCATAAAAGCATTACATGTAGAGGATATGGATGTTGTGGTTGAACCTGGGATTGGATGGATGGAGCTTAATGAATACTTAGAACCCCATGGTCTCTTCTTCCCTCTTGATCCTGGTATGTTTCAGTTATATTTCAGATCTGTTTGGATGAAGGGTTTTGGAGGGGTTCAGAGAAGAAGTTTTTTTAAATGAACTGAATAAAAGGTGGTTTGTTCTGGGACCTTAGTGGGTTGTTGTTGTTTTTTTTGCTATCCTACTCCACAAGTTAGATTTAAGTCACTGCATGAGATTGAAAGGAGAAGTACTAATTGAGCTTACATATTCCAAATTGCCATTGATACTCCCTCCGTCCTACTATTTTGGGTCATGAAGGAGTGTCAGGAAAATTAAGAAAAGTAATATTGTGTAGTTGATATTGATGTTAAAAAGCGGTAAGATAAAGTAAGAATGAATGCAAATCACACAAGTATGACCAAATATGGTATGTGACAAAAATAGTGAGATGGACAAAAAGGTAAAAATGTACAAAAATAGTAGGACTTTGTTAATTGGTAGACCTTTTGCTAATGAGGAAATGGTAAAAAATGTTTTGGTTTGATGTTTTAGATATGTTGGGAAATTGAAACATCCAATCTTTCAGGACCTGGAGCAACAATTGGAGGTATGTGTGCTACACGTTGCTCTGGCTCTTTGGCGGTAAGGTAGTTGCTTTCCTCTTTTGCCTTTATTCTTATTCTTCATTTGATCTCTAAGCTTGAACGGATTATGGACATTATGTTAAGCCCTCAAACATACACAAAAGACAAACCGACATATGATGTGCTTGGGAAAAATGGCTAGCATGTACTTGCACAATAGTCATATGGGTTCATATTGACAAAGGCCTCATTTGGGAACAACAATTTAAATTAGTAGTTAGCGTTTTGGATTATTTTTTAATGTTGCAGATTAACTTTGAAATTGGTAAAGGCCGTAAAGCTAAATATTGTCATTAGATAGCCTTTTTCAAAACATTGAAGTTGTTTCCAAACGGGCACAAAAGCTACTATTTACAAATAGAGTCATCGGATGAAATAGATAAGATCTTTTGGCAATGATGTTTATACTTTTGAATTAGCAATCGTGCCGGGGGGGGGGGGGGTNCAATTAGGAGTATGGTTTGTGTCCTCTCACTCTCCCCACACCCTACCTTGTGTGGGATTCTATTGGGTTTGTTGTTGTTTAGACTTTTCAACTAATCATGCTCTGTTGTAAGTCCAAAATATATACCCTAGTAACCTAATAGTTATGATTTTAGCATGTAGGTATGGTACGATGCGTGATAATGTCATCAACCTTAAGGTAAGTTATATCCACACTGCAAGTTTTTTTTATGGGAAATGCCACAGTAATTTCCAACGGAGCATGTGCTCTTTCACAGGTTGTTCTAGCCAATGGAGATGTGGTCAAGACAGCCTCTCGGGCAAGAAAAAGTGCTGCAGGGTATCTTTGTCATTGTCTTTCATGTGCAATGCCATGAGCATCTTTTTTCTGATTGCACTGTAATTGCACGTGTTTTAGTTATGATTTGACGCGCCTGATAATTGGAAGTGAAGGAACCTTAGGAGTTATCACTGAAGTTACTTTGCGCTTGCAGAAAATTCCTCAATCATCAGTGGTAATATTTTTTACAGGTTTTTTACAGGAAGTATTGCATCATAATCTGCATTGTATCTCAATTTAAAATGCATCTCCCGGTTGAAAACTTATGTCCAACTAATGGTCTTGAATTTCTTTAATGTGTAACTTTTATTCACCGTCACGCTAATCTAATTTTATTCGTGTGCCACCATTGGCAAATGTACTGGTGTGTAGGTTGCAATGTGCAACTTCCCTACAATCAAGGATGCAGCAGATGTTGCTATAGCCACTATGCTCTCTGGAATTCAGGTCTCTGGTTCTTCTTTGCCACTTTTTACTGAATTGATAGGACTGACTTCTACACTATCATCACTACCCTCTAAATACAAAACAACAACAACAAACAAACAAACCCAGCACAAACCCACATACATTGGGTCTGTGGAAGGTGTGTGTATGCAAAGAAAACTTCTTAACTTACCCCTTCTTGAAAATAGAAAGACTATTCACAACAGACCGTAGCACAAAGGAAAAAATAAACCTTTTAAATTTGAGAACTTCCATGATTCTAAAGTTCCAAAATTGAAAATCCTCTAAGGGCCTCCATCCAAACCCACCCATAGGGACATAAACTTGGCATCCCCTCAATGATAAGCGCTGAACTTTCTATTTATACCTTTTTCTCAAAATTGTGTTATGTATCATTGTATTGTATATCAGGTGTCAAGAGTGGAACTGATGGATGAAGTCCAAGTGCGTGCCATTAATGTTGCAAATGGAAAAAAACTGCCAGAACTTCCAACTCTTATGTTTGAATTCGTAGGCACAGGTGAAATATGGTCCATCTTATATTGTGTATTTAAAGCGTGACACATGTATCAAATTTATTTCTATATGTTGTGAGATCATTTGAAACCATCCACATCAAATAAATATGAAAGTACAAACCAAAATACTCTCTTATGACTTATGAGGTTGACAGTTTATTATGAGACCTTGAATCTTAACAAGAAGGGAACATATTGAACACTTAATGGCCCGATGGCTCAATAGTGAATCCTGCCGTAACATAAATTTTGAGGAACATTATTGTTTGCTTGTCTTACTTTGTTTGTGCTACTAAGTTTGAGTGGGAGGGGGGGGGGTCTCTTGGAAACAATCTCTCTTCTTTCAAGTTACAAGTAAGGTCTCTGTGTACACACCTTCGGAGAACCTACTTTTTGTGGGATTTCACTAGGTTTGTTGTTGTATTATTGTTTGCTTGAAACAATGATATAAACTACATGATATTACTTGTCGTCTTCAATTGTATTTGTTTATGACACAATGCCATTATCACCCAGAGGCATATGCACGCGAGCAAACTGAAATTGTTCAGGAGATAGCCGCTGAGCATAAGAGCTCTGACTTTGTCTTTGCACAAGCTCCCGAAGAGAAAAAGGAACTTTGGAAGGTGACTCAAAAATAATTGCTTTTAAATTTTTGTTATCTTTCTTAGGTAACAATCTTACTACTTTTTGTGAGATTTATTGGGTTTGTTGTTGTTTCTTACATAAGATCGAAAGCTTCCCCGGTTATCATAGTGATTTTTTCCATTCTTATTCTTTTTAGATAAGGAAGGAGGCACTTTGGGCTTGTTTTGCTATGGAGCCTAATTTTGAAGCAATGATAACGGTTTATTCCCACCTCATTTTTCTTCATATCTATATGGAATTGATTTGTGTGTTACTTACCCTTTTTGGTGAATTGCTAGTGTTTGTCCTACTCATGTACTAGCTTTTGTGGGAGAGTAAGGGCTTGACTTGGTATCATTATATGAGAACGTATTAAGTACTACGTAAGTACTACAATAATAAGTGTCATGTAGTTCTCTCTTCGCTTAAAACAACAATCCAGTAAAATCGTCATAGACAAGATCAGATCAAAGCTAGGAATATTTTCTGTTGTTAACTATACTGGATTCTTTACCAATCTCCTTCTCTATTACCTCTACTTTGTTCTTCAAGTCAATAATCTCTTTATCCAAACTAATATAAAACTTATGAATCATTTCCACCCCCCTCTGTCTAATTATCCTTCATCTTCTCTTCGCCCTCAGTTAGCTCTTTTTGAGACTATTATTTCCATCGATTGTTCATATATTGATTCAGAATTTTTCAACACCTCGGAGACATGTTCTTCAACTTTTTTAATGTCCTTTCCAACTCTTGAGTTCTATGATCAATAGAAGCCAACATGTCATGAATGTTTTCTGAATTCTGTAATATAAGCTCTTATTTATCTGAAATGGCCTCTAGTTTCTCCCAAACAATCTCCGCATTATTCTTCAATGCATTGACCAATCTTTTTGTGTCATCTGTAAATGCATGCATGTATAAACTCGTAGCCGGTGATAGATAAAATGATTTGGAGGAAGAATTCAAGATAAATTATATGAGCATGATCCTCTAAATTCTTCAAACACTTGGTCATGGCAGATGAGGCAGATCTCGAATCACAATGGGGGAGAAGAGGCCTTCTAGAGTGTTGCTAGAAACAATCTGTGAGATTCCAAGCAAGTCTGGGCTTGAGTTTCTTATTGGGGACAAATTTTGAACACTCTGCAAACCCTTCGCTAGCAAGTATTCAGGGCCAACATCTCCTCATCCCCTATAATTTTAAGAGAATTATGCAGATTTCGTGTTTACATTGGAGGCTAAAATGAGTTGTCTTCCAAAACCATTCAAGATTTTGTTTTCCTTGATTTTGCTATCACAAAGTTGCTTGTCATGGGGTTTGTGGTTCTCAGACTCAAGCAAGAATGACAATGATCAAGCATAAGAAGACTACTCGTCGGGCGAAGATAAGTGGCATTCTTTCAAGACACAAGTTTCTAAGTTCTCCATGAAGCTCTTTGAGAGTAGGAATTGATTCAAATTAATGGAAGATGTGGAGATGTTCGCCTTGAATACTTGCTAGCAAAAGGTGTTTTAGAGCGCGTTTGAAAGTTGTTCCCAATGAGGAACTCAAGTTCAGAGTTGCTCCTCATCTCCCATATTGTGATGTGAGATCTGCCAAGACTAAATGTTTGAAGAATTTGGATGATCATACTCATAGAACTTATCTTCAATTCTTCCTCCATTCTATCTATCATCATTTACCATGCATTTTGAGATAACACAAAGAGGTTGGTCAATGCATTGAAGGATAAGGCGGAGATTGTTTGGGAGAAACAAGAGGTCATTTCAAATAAAGAAGAGCTTATATTACAAAAACAAAACTCGAGAAACATTAATGACATGTTGGTTTCTGTTCATCATACAACTCAATAGTTGGAAAGGTTTCAAAGAGTGTTGAAAGACATGTCTCAAGGTAAAGCTGATGATATGGAGAATATTACATGGGTTTCTTTAGATAAGCAGAAATAACATAACTTCTGGAAGGACAATCTCTTGCTCTTGATGGTCTCCAAGTTTTGAGTCAAGCTTATCTAGCCGAAATCGGGCATAAGCAACAAGGGAAATTTCTTAGAAGGCAAGAACAGCTTCAACAAGCACACGATCATCTGGCTGAGAATTTAAAAACAATATTAGCTGCTCAAGAAGCATTTGAATTAAATCAAGCAAGCATGTTTGTTGCCTTGGACAAGTTCTTCGCACTGCACAATGCCATGAAATCAAGGATGATCAAAGCTTTCTTGGTCTACTCATTCCCAATTTTTATTCTTTATATGTTCACTAGCATGAAGCAAACTTACAACGTGAGGCCTAGGCTTTATATGGGATTATGTGCTACATTCATTAATGATTTAGCCATAGTTTGATATGGGACATATGAAATGGAGATGCAATCTTGGAAGGCATTGTAGATCACTCTTTATGGTTGGAGCATCGGTTCAACTTACGTATGCTATCTGGACATACAGAGATTATGGAGTTTTGAACCATCAAATGATATTGACATTGATAGAGAAAGTGTATGCGATTCAGAAACACAAGCAATTGTCATGGGAGATGGAGAATGATTCAGATAGTGAGGTAGACTGGTCTGCATGGGTTGATGAAGAATTGCCTGATGATGTCGATGAACTGGAGGATCCCGCTTACATATTTCATGATAAAGTTGCAGAAACTTCAGTCATGCACTATGAACTAACAGACAGATAACCTACGTAACAGCAATTCATTTATATAATTTACCACCAAACTTTAGCTATTCTCCATAGTTTTGTACTTTTTATGAAAAGTGTATTTATAACTTAAAAAGTGTTTTACGGGGAGGGGATTTTATGCTCGGTCCATCCCTAAAAAAAGAGTCCTATTTGCAGATATAATTGCTCTAGAAAAGAATTATATATGTAAAAATTGTAAGAAAAAAGAATCCAATATAGTTAACAACAAAAAATATTCTTATATTTTGCTTTGATCTGGTCTTGTCTATCAAATCCCACAAAAAGTTGGGTGTGGAGAAGGCGTGTGCATGCAGACATTACTCTTACTAAGCTTTAGATATGTTGTTTTCAAGAGACTTGTGGCTCATATACTCCAAACTCTCTTTGCTTCTGGCAACTAAATTACTACTCTTCCATTTATTTGTGTTACTTTCATCTTAGCTTGTCTACAAGAAGAAGAAAAATATTTAAACTTTTTAAATGATTTGACTAAATCTATTTGAAGGGAAATTCCGTAAAACACGAGAACCCCTTTCGTTGTTGGATGAAATGACGTAATGAGTTGAAGTTGATGACATTGTGTCTGAAACTCTCTAAAAAAACCAGACTAAATGTAAATGTGCTTTGTATTTTGGGTTTGAAAGAGTATCAATTATTATCAGCAATGTATTTATAGGTTGCCCTAATAATTCTGATTGCAGGATGTGTGTGTTCCTCTCTCACACCTTGCGGAGTTAATTTCTCGATCAAAACAAGAGCTGGATGCCTCGCCACTAGTATGGTAACTTCCACTCCTTGTTGATGAATTACTATTCACAGTCAACGACAACAAACCCAGTAAAATCCGACAAAAAGTAGGATTTGGGGGGGGGGGCACACAAACCTTACCCTTACTTGGAAATAGAGAGATTTTTTCAAGAAACTTCTGACTCGTATACAAAAGTTCTGAGAATCAAATCACAGTAGCACTAACAAAGTATGACTAAAGAGAGCGAAGAAGTACACATACTAACAACAAGATCCAAATCCCACCAGCACAAGCTATAGACCAAAGCTTAAAGACACACCGAAGGCCAAAAATACAACCAAAGGCTTAAAGATACGCCATGGGGCAAGCTAGGTGTGGTTAATCCATTTCACATAAAATATAAAAACACAAATTAGTATGTACTCCCTCTGTCCCATAACTAAAGACACAATTTCTAATTCGGTATATCGATAACTTTTGTTTGTATTTGTGTTTTCATTGATAATGTGATATAATAAAGTAGTTATATCACCTCATATTTTGCAGAACTTTTAACATAGATTTTAAATATGTAAATTTCATTTCTTATTTCAATACTAATGTTTTTGAATAAAATGATTTTAAGAAGTGTGGGGTTTGGCCTCGTAATCCGAACTTTGCCTTTAGTTATGGGGCGGAGGGAGCAAAAAGATGCAACCTTGGTATTAATATGTGTACTCGGTGTTCATACACTGTAACATACTCCGTATTAAACTTTTTTCTAGCCCCGAGCAAAAAGTTGCTATCATTGTAATTAGTACTACCCTTGTCCCCGAGTATTCGTCCAATTTGACTTTTTTGAGTTAAACCGGACAAACATAGATCATCAATTAAATAAAAATTGTACTCCCTCGTCCTACAAAACTTTCCCTGTTTTGACTTTTGGGATGGAAGCTGTAGAAGTTTGACTAAGGTACAACGGCAACAATTGAAACACGTAGGGTTTGGAAAATGTCAGATTGGGGAAGGCGTGGATGGTAGTTGGAGGAGGTTAGGTTAGATTTAGAAAAGCAAAGGCATTTATGTCCATTTAGTCCAAATTGAATTATTTTATTTTGGGACAAGTTAAAAGTGTAAGTGGAAAGGTTTTGTGCTACGGATGGAGCATTAAATATTAGCACAAAGATTTCATTTGATTTATCATGTGAAAAACTATCAGAAACTTATTGTATTGTGTTCATAATTTCATATGATCGTATGCAATGCACGTTCAATGTAATTGATAATTAAAGTTCGTTAATTTGACTCAAAAAATAGTCAAACTGGACGAAAGCTCTAGGCCAGATGGAGTATTTTGATTACCAAGTGACACAAGGAGAGATTTGACCTGACCTCATTGTTGTTTGTTCATAACAGCACAGTTGTAGCTCATGCTGGCGATGGTAACTTTCATACGGTTATACTATTTGATCCCACCAAAGAGGATCACCGAAGAGAAGCCGAGAGGTTAAATCACTTCATGGTTCAACTTGCTCTATCCATGGAAGGTATATACATATAGAGTATTGACACACCCACCCACCCACCCACACACACACACAATGTATGACTAGTTCACTTGTCTATAGGGGTGAGCATTTTAATCAAGCGAAACCGATGACTGAAAACCAAACCAACCAAAAATTTGATTTTTGTTTTCAAGTGTAAAATATGTTTAATTATTTTTTTGTTATTCGGTACGTTTTCGGTTTTTGGTACGGTAAAACCAAACCCACCAAAAAAATCGATATGTATCGTAACGGTCTACCGCTTTGTTCCATGTTCTTGACTTCACAAAGGCACGTGCTCCGGAGAACATGGTGTTGGCACTGGGAAGATGAAGGTGCTATACCATTTTACATTCAGATTTCAACATTGCTTTCAGATTCAATTTTTTTTGAAAAATTATCTGTTTAAATTCATTTTCAGTACCTGGAGAAAGAAGTCGGAATAGAGAATTTGCAGACGATGAAGAGAATAAAAGACGCTTTGGACCCCAACAATATCATGAACCCAGGAAAGCTCATCCCTCCCCATGTTTGCTTCTAAAAGGGTAATCTTTCTGTGTTCTTTCCCTTTTTCCATTCACCTCTGTGTCTATAAGACATTTGTATTTGCACCCTCACACTACATACGGGTCGCGCACGAAGCCTCTTGAAAATAGTGTCCTTACGAAGGCTTGCATACATTGCCCCCCCCAGATCGGACCTACTATTGAGTGGGACATATTATGATACTCATAACAATGTGCCCTTTGATAAAATAACATAGTCATGTCACCTCTTGTTACTCATTTGATAAAATAACATAGTCATGCCACCTCTTGTTTTGTACTCCCTCCGTCCAATAAAACCCTTCCTATATTGACTTTTAAAAGATTGAATAGGAGTGTATTTTTGTGTTGACTTTTCAAATTTGCCCCTGAATGTGATGGGTAAAAGTAGGATATACTTCTTCCGTCCCATTAAGATGCTCCCATTTTGACTTTTGGAAAATTTAAGGGAGAGATATTTTTGTGTTGACTTTCCAAATATACTCTTGATGTAATGAGTAAAAGTAAGATGTGATACCTAAATTATTAGTAAAAAATATAATATGATAAGTAGGGTAAGAACTAGTAGGGGTAAAAGTAGTTATTTAATAGGAATAAGGACTTTGTGGGACAAGAAAAAAAGAAAAGAGAAGAAGTTTTTGGGACGGAGGAAGTATTAAATAGATTAATAGTGAATAAATATGATGTGATGGATATGGTAAAAATTAGCAGGAGTAAAAATGACTTTTAATAGAAAGTTGAAATGATTTTTTGGGATGGATAAAAAGTGAAAGATGAAAAGTTTTATGGGGCGGAGAGAGTAGAAGTTTTGATGTAGTTTATAAGTATATAAATTTTGTTGTTGTTAATTCTACGGTTCTACCTCAAACTTCATATAAGTTGTTTTAAAAATAATTCAATCAAACATCGTAAACAACACCATGCAACTTAAATTGGGACAGAGAAAGTAGAATGAACTTGTATATATGAAACTATTAATGTGCCATTTTTTATTTAGTGTTGATCACTATTATAAATACTTTTTCAACACTTGATTAGTTCACTATTTGGAATTTTTACTCTGTCCCATTTTATGTGAATCTAGTGCTATTTTAACCTTTGCGTAAATACTGTTATCTTTACCCCCTCTCATTTGATGTCAATCTAAAGCTATTTATGTATTTTTTTCTAAAGTATATTAAAGTTTTACTACCTCCGTCCTAGTGTATTTGTCCAGTTTGACTTTTATAAGTCAAATTGGACAAACTTTGAACTCTAATTACTCTCAATTTATATTGCATATTAACATAATGAAATACAATTTTGAAAGTTCTCAATACGATAAATCTAATAAAGTCATTTTTATGTTAAAATAAATTATGATTTTTGTTTAATTGAAGCTCAATGTTTATTCAGTTTGACTCAAAAATGTCAAAATGGACAAATACGCTGGGACAGAGAGAGTATCTTATTTTACTATAGAAATAATTTTTTTTTCTAAATGGATGATTATTTATTTAAACATGGATTGATTATCATTTTAAACTTCATATTTACGTGCACGACTCAAATAAAAAACAAACTTTCTCTATATGTGAGAGAGTGTCCTGTGTTAGACATTTTTGTGTCTTTAACTACACACTTGAGCTTTTGATTGAGTTAATTTGTTGATGTGGTATTGGAGTTTTGTTGTCTAGAGGTCATATTTATACATGCATGGAGTATATAAATTCGAAAACTTGAGTTTTTGCTTGTGTTAAATTCGTAACATCGTTTTTGTAAGAGTCTTGCATCACAAGTTGAAAAAAATTAATTGATATATAAGTTCTTGAATTGAATTAAATAATCAAATAAATTTAATCTTTTAATGGTGTTCAATCGAAGTGTTTTGAGAGAATTTTGTTGATATCAGAGCAAGTTCCGGCTTACTTCATTTCAAAGATGTTCATCTAGAAAATGTAACACAATTGTTTTTTGGAAACCTATACCGTGTGGCTTCTTGTTCTTTAGGTGTTGCCATCAAAATATAAATTTTAGGGGGGATGTGAATCTAATTGTTAGTGGCTAACTAGTTAGATTTAAAATGGTCTGATTGTCCACTTGAAGGAAACTATTAAAATCTCACATCATAAGTTGAAACGAAAAATAATAATATATTTTTTGTATATAAATTTTTGAGTTAAACCAAGTAATTGATTAGATTTATTAATTTATTAATGTAGTTCAACTTAACTGTTTTAGAAGATGTGTATTCGAAGATGTAAAAAAAAGAGGTTTGAAGTCTCAGTTTGAAGCTCTGGGGCTTCAAACCCATTTCTCGTGAAATTTTGGTGTAAGTTAAAAGCTGATGTGGTAGAGAGATAATGTTTGAAGCTCCGAAGATTCACGGTCATTTCCAGTGCTCTTACTTTATTTGTTTTATTAGGCGTAAAGATGCTAGCTTTTACACATATTCTTTTTTGAGCTTTCCAAATGATTCTAAATTTACAAAGGTCTCAATCGTCACTCAAAGTGGATGCTAGCTATTTATTAGTCTATTACACATGATTTTCATGTGTTAGAAATAATTTTCAACATTCTAATTTATATATTCTTGCTTGCTAACTTTAATAGCATAAGAATAAAGAGATAATTCCCATCAAAATCACCTTATTTTTGTGGATAAAAATATAGTAAACCTTTGGTGCTTCTATTGATCATTACCCTAATAATTTGGTTCATATATACTCCTTCCGTTCTACAAAACTCTTCCGGTTTTGACTTTGGGAAAAAATAAGAAAAGTGTAATTTTGGTTGACTTTCCAATTTTGCCCCTGATGTGATGGAAAAAAGTAAGATGTGATAGTTTGGTTATTAGTGAAAAAGTATGATGTGATAGGTAGGGTATGAAAAAGTAGGGGTAAAAATGGTTTTTTAATAGAAAGTGGAAGTGTTTTGTGGAAAACAAAAAAAACGAAAGAGGAAGAGTTTTGTGGAACGGAGGGAGTAGGATTCTTTATGTGTCTCTCGTGTCCATGAAAACAAACTATATTTTAATTTTTAAAAAATGTATTCTTACATCAATTTATTGGTGCAAGGTTATTATTCTGATTCGGTTGGAGCACTTACGGTACTATGATCGTAAAATCGATTATTCTTACTTCGGCAAATAAACCCCCCTCTGCCCTTCCAGCGCCGCCCGTTTCTAACGCACCCTCTCCAATTGATTTTTTTTGTGGTATTCACTTTATTAGAATGCAGTATCTATTTCTATTTTCTCAATCTAATAATGCATACAGAGTCAATATTTTTTGCCTCTGATGATGGAATCGAACCTGGGTCGACTTTCTCGTGATCTTAGGTAGTGGTCTTCTCGTCAAAGTCAAGTGCTCCATATTCATTATAAGGCTCGATATTTTTAGAAGCTCACGGTTCTCAATATTTGATATTTTTAAAATTACGTAGTTTTTTAATTGCATAGAAATATATTTTAGTAGTAAAAGTTTTATGTAATTGTTAATGAATGGTAAATTATAGCACGAATTTTAAAACAAAAGTACTTCATTCACAATAAAATAAGGCTTAAAATATATTTTCACATAGAATCTTTTTTTATTTTTTCTCCTTTCTAAGACTTGTATTATTATATCCATGCACTTTGTATGTATTTTATGAATTTACAAACTTTGTCCACTTTGACTTTTTACTAAACGGCCATTTTGCTTTTATGAAAAAAATTGTCGTATACTCCTTCCGTCCCATTTTATAACGCCTGTTTTGGTTTACGATGTTTGACTGAAATTATTTTCAAATCATTTTATATGACAAATGGTATATAGTTAAAAAATAAAAATTACATATTAAAAATATTACATCAAAAGATCTACAAAACTAGTAGTCACAATAATATTTTATTTTATCAAATTGCTAACGAAAATAGAGAAAAAAAGTGAAGGAAATTGGATCCCGTGAATAATGAACATGCATTATAATTTGGGACGGAGGGAGTACTTATCTTAATTTCATGAAAATACGTATTTTGCAAGGCAAATCAAAACTTATGAAATGATTTCATAATAATTCATTGGGAGAATTATATTTTAATTTTTCAAATAAATAAGCTTCAACAACGTACGAATACAATCACATGCATTTGTTTTCGTAGGCGTACGTGCAGATATTTTTTATTGTTCAAAAATTTATGTACGGTAATACTTTAAGGTTGTATAATTTGTTCGTATTTAATTATTGTGGGAGACAAGAAAGGTGTCAAAAAATAATTTAGATACCCATTATGTTATTTTAATTTCTTAGGTTTTTGGTGATTATTAATTACTTGTATTCTGAAATTGTTAATGTTGTAATGACAACAAATCTTTTCTTTTTTACTAAAATTTTGTTCCCCAAAAAAATATTCTTTTCTTTTTAACTAGTACTCCGTAGTACTCCCTCCGTTCCAAAAAGTCCGACATGTTTCGAAAAAAATGCGTCCCGTAAATTCCGTTACATTTCAATTAAAAAACCACTTTTACCCCTTACTTTTTCATACCCTACCTATCACATCATACCCTTTTTCTAATAATCTATCCATCACATCCTACTTTTACCCATCACGTCAAGGGTATAAACACCAAAATATCTCTCCCTTAATTTCCCAAAAAATCAATATGTGTCAATCTTTTTGGGACGGAGGGAGTATAATTTTTGAACCACATTAAGGCTCTATTTTTTTTTATTACAAAAATTAACTTTCAACTTTTTCCAACTACTTCTAATTTTCTCCAACTCGTTTCAGTTTTTTCTAACTGTTACTAGTTTCTTCCAACGAATTAAAAAATGTATTTACATATAAGATCTAATGACTATACGATATAATAATATTATATGGAGTATATTCAAATTTATAACATAACACCTCAAATACGAACAAAGATTAATTTTTTTATAATTCCCGTATATATTTATTTGGATGATTATTTAATTGAGTGTCTTTTCAACACTTTATTTTTTCCAATATTTTCTAACTCTTTGCAATTATTTCTGACTCATTATATTTTCTTCTAACTCCTATTTTCATCCAATTTCTTCCCGTTTCTTTCAACATTAGACTTCAAAATTCCAAGTGAAAAGAATGGAGCCTAAAAATTACACCTATCATCTCACAATAAGAATATAAGATTCCACTTTAGTGTATTCACATTTGCTACTATAAGGACGATTACTAATAAAAGTGAACATTTATCACACACAATATTCACGAATAATGGATTCTATTTAAATTTATACTCGTATTTCCTATCACTTTCTTGATTTAAATAAATTTCAATCATACAATTTTTACTTTCTCTATTCCAAAAAATAGTTTTCTCTTTTTTTGCGGAAGTTCTAAAAGATAATTTTAACTCACTTTATTTTTCTTTATAGTAATGAATACGTAGCTCAAATGATTTTTCTCACTCAAATAATTTTAAATTAAATTTTATCCTTGCATTTTACATTTTAATTATTTTTTTTCTGAATTGCAAAATTCGAAATAGGTAATGTTTTTTTTCTAAGTGAGAAAGTAAATATGCGCACTTCTAACGGTTGGCGTCTTGGCACCGTACCAAACATGAAATCTCATCTACTCCGTATGTAACACACTCCAAAACAAAATAACAGATATTACATTGTCTTTTAGAATTTAAATAGTAAAATCTTTTGAACTTTTATTTTGTTATTAGTCATCATGAGTTCAAACTTTATTGCAACTTAGTTTTTTTAAAAAAAATTAGTGCTCACGTGCAAGCTTTTAGCAAAAATAAAATTTGTTCTAGATATTTACACATCTTATCTGATTAAAATATTGTGATATATCCCAAAATAAATTTAAGAAAAAAGCGTGTTTAACGCGATTCATTAAATCTATCAAGTCTTCTTCACGTAGAGTCATTGTATACCATTCACTTATTTCAACTCACTGGGAACATAACATACATGTGATCAATCTGGGGCACGCGCCCCAGTAATTATATTTATTTTGTTATACTCCCTACTACATATAAAACCCGTTGGGAATAACGTTAGAGATTAGCATTAACGTTCTGTATAAAATTTTAAGTGGTGTAGATTAACTTTGAGAACGCTAACGCCAAACACTACTCGTAGATAGTCTTTTAAAACACTAACGTTAATCTCTAATGTTATTTCAAAACAAGTCTATAATATTTTTTTAAAATAGATAGTTTAAGAGAGTGTCTCCTTTTATTTGAGCAAAAAAAAAGATAAATATTTAATTATCGTAGCATTAAAAATGCTTATATAGTTATAAAGGAGATTTAGGAATTTCGTGTGGACTCTAGTGCTGCCAAAGAATTTACCTAAAAAAATGATACTTTTAAAAAATACGTACGGATCCAGCATACTACATACCATAGCTTTAAATTTATTAATTTTTTTTTTGTCATGAGAAAAAAAAAGAATCTCAACTTTACACAACCCATCATATAAGATCCCTTGCTCAGAAAAAGAAAAGAAAAAAGAAGTAATTATAATAGAGTCATGCTAGAAAAAAGAAGTAATTATAATATTTTCACAGATATTACAGACACCGAACATTGTCTCGTGTCTATAACATTTGTAAAGACATTGAAGTTAAAAGTTGGGTGTAAGGTGGGTTTATAAAGTTTTTTTCATTAAAATGAGACCCACCACTTATATAATAGGTTCAATCAATTAAGAAGACCGAAGTAAAAAATATGAATATATTAAAATAATCGATCAATTAATTATTTATAAATATAAAGTAGTTTTTTATTTTTAACTTATTACGGAGTAATTTAATTACTAATATAAAAAAGTTCATAATGACCTTTAAGTCTGAAAAGAATTGTCTATAAATATATCCAGCAAGTCTTAATGAAAAATTAGTTTCACAAAAAGATACCCCTCCGCCCTAATTTAATTTGTTTGTTTCGGTTTACGATGTTTGACTGCAGTTATTTCCAAGTCATTTTTATATGAAAAATGGTGTATAAATAAAAATAAAAAGTACATAATTTAAAACTATATCAAAAGATCTACATTAAAAAAATAGATGAACGAAAATGAGGTCTTTAAACTAAGAGGGTATTATTTTAGTTTGGTCATTGAACGAAAATGAGGTCTTTAAACGTAATTTCATTTATCACAGTTATTTATGAGCAATTGAGTTTACGACCTAACATTTTTCACAAACAGCTAACAAAAACAATTGGTCGAATAAGACCAATATCCGCTAACATAAACCACCCAACAACCAATTTCAAACAAGGCTAATTTCCGGTTTCACCCTTAATCACTTCACTATTGTTGGTTAGGATATGATCGAAAACCCTTTCAATTTACTACTCCGTGTTCAATAGTGCTCGGTAATTTTTGTTTGCATGTATTTTTTAATTAGTCATTTGATAAAATAAAATATTATTGTTACTTTTTGTTTTGTAGAATGTTTCATATAATTTTTAAATATGTATATTTACTTTTAATTTTTATAACCATTTGTAAATAAAATCATTTAAAGAAAATACAAGACTTGAACGTGAAATGAAAGAGGAAGAATTTTAACAGTTGCATCAATATACCCATCTGTCATTACCAACTAATCCATTTTTTCTAAGTAATCACAGTGAGTGCAGAAAACCTTATATAATCCGTACTTTGTGTCACAATCATTCCAATTAGGCTGTAGTCCTCGTCTACCTTTTAAAATTAATTATCTCATTTTTTCTCTTTAGAATATCTTAAAATAATTATAAGTTTTGCATTACGTAGCTAGAAGAAATTAAATAAGTGATTTATATTGAATCTCTTTCCTCTCTAAATATTTTAACTAAATAATTTCAGTTTTCTTTAATCACGTGATAGTAATATTAGCTGCCTGCATGTGTTACACAACCAAACAATTAAAGACATATTTATATAAAGAGGAATTTACGTAAATAGAACTAAAACATAATGACTTTCCATAAATAGCACTACATGTGTTTTTATTTTCAATGTATCACTTTTAGTCATTATCCATTAGTCATTATTCAAATAAATGTTAATCATCACTGGTCATTATAGACATTATTAAGTACTCCCTCCTCCCAAAAAGAATGAGACGGTTTGACTTTTTGGGAAATTAAGGGAGAGATATTTTGGTATTGACTTTCCAAAAATACCCTTGATGTGATGGGTAAAAGTAGGATGTGATGGGTAGATTATTAGAAAAAAGGTATGATGTGATAGGTAGGGTATGAAAAAGTAAGGGGTAAAAATGGTTTTTTAATAGAAATGTAACGTACTTTATGGGACGCAGTTTTTTCTAAACGTAACAAACTTTTTGGGACGGAGAAAGTACTATTTAGAGAATAAAACAATTTAAATGTTATTTGGAGAAATGACTTAAGTTTTAGTGCTATTTAGTACAAATATTTCTTATATAAACTGTGTTTATTTGATCAATTAAGGAGAGAAGAAAAAAGTTTGAGATGGGCCGTACACTTCCTCACGTAGTAGAAGACTGCCATGGCCTCCTCAAGCTCTACAGCGACGGCTCAGTTTTCCGGTCCAAAGACGTCCTCATGCACGTCCCGTCTCCGGTTCACGACGACTCTTCCGTCGTCTGGAAAGATACCCTTCTCGACGACGCTCGCGGCCTCCACCTCCGCATTTATCGGCCGCGTTCCCCAGCGCCATCCGCCAACGCCCTCCCCGTCGTGTTCTTCTTCCACGGCGGGGGGTTCTGCTTCGGGTCCCGCACGTGGCCTAACAGCCACGCCACGTGCGTCCGCCTTTGCTTCGGCCTCCGGGCCGTCGTCCTGGCTCCGGACTACAGGCTGGCGCCGGAGCACAGGCTTCCTGCGGCCGCCGACGACGCTTTTCGCGCCGTGAAGTGGCTCGCCAGCCAGGCGTGGGCCCGGGGCCGGGAGGGAGTTCTGGGGGATGGGGTTGACTTTGGCCGGGTTTTCGTTGTGGGAGACTCCTCGGGCGGAAACTTGGCTCACCATTTGGCGGTTCGGCTAAGAGCCGGCTCACAGGAGCTGGCTCCCGTCCGAGTCCGTGGCTATGTGATGTTGTCTCCCTTTTTTGGCGGGACCGTGAGAACCAAATCCGAAGCCGAAGGACCACCGGAACCAAGTTTGAATATCCAAATTCTCGACAGGTAAGCAAAATTTAATTTAAAAGTGTGAATTTCTAAAATGGTCATTTGTAACCAAGCGTTTTTTGCAACTCCGTACTCAATTGGAGATAATTCCCAAAATAGTCATTTCTAATAAGTATTTTTCTAAATCAAACCTCAAAAAATAATACTAATTACTAACATAGTATTTTATAATTGAGATTTATTTTTGTGGTCGTCTTTGGTGAAAGTTCCATTGTATGGCTATTAATTGGAGGGTATTTGTATATTTTCAATCAACTAATTTCAGAGTAAGCTTTTTAAAATAGACGCCTTAGCTTGCCTATCAGAAAGGTCCATTTTAAAAACTTTATTCTAAATTTAGATGGTAAAAAATACGTAATTACCTTCCAATATACAATTATATTACAAATTTTTTGTCAGGAGACTATTGCGGGATTAAATTTCAATTATAAAGTATTATGTATGTAATTGTTGATTTTTGAGGATTGATTTGGGAAAAATACTTTTAGAAAGGATTTGCCATTTTGAAAATTCATTTAGGGTCCGTTTGGTATACGGAATTGACGGAATAGGAATTGAATTGGAATTGAAATTCCATGAGATTCAATTCCATAGAATTGAATTCTGCCAATTCTAATTCATTTTTTGCACTATCAATTCCAAATCCACACAATTTTTGTGCTACCAAACACCAGAATTGGAATTGAAGATCTCAATTCCAATTTCATAGTTTGAATTCTGTGTATCAAACGGGGCTTTAGGGTCTCTTTGGTACACGGAATTTGCGAAATTGGAATTGAATTAAGAGTTGAAATTTTATGGAGTTGAATTGGATATATTTGAATTCTCCAATTTCAATTCAATTTTGGCACTACCATTTCCAAATCTATGTATTTTTGTGCTACCAAACAGTAGAATTAGAATTGTCATCTATAATTCTAATTTCATAGTTTGAATTCCGTGTACCAAACGAAGCCTTAGGCTCTGTTAGTTAGGTACACAGAATTCAAACCATGGAATCGGAGACAACAATTCAAATTCTGCTGTTTGGTAGCACAAAAATATGTGAATTTGATATTAGTAGTGCCAAAAATGAATTGGAATTGGAGAATCAAATTCTATCCAAATCAATTTAATAGATTTTCAATTTCCAATTTAATTCCAATTTCATCAATTTTATACCAAACGGACCTTTAATTTTATTTTTTTTATTAAATATGTTATAGAGTACTCCTGGGAAGTATGTACTGTATATATTATCAAATGTCTTGCAAAATTATGAAGTCATTAGTTAGTGTCATTATGTGATCTCACAAAAATAAATTATGAAGTCATTAGTAAGCGTCATTGTCTGAAAAAAAGTGGGAAAAATAATATAGTCATGTCACCAGTAGTTTTGTAGATCTTTTGATATACTCCCTCCGTTCCTAAAAACATGGGAGTTTTGATTTTGAAAAGGGATTTAAGGGAGTGTATTTTGGTATTGAATTTCCAAAAATGTCCTTTGATGTGATGAGTAAAAATATGATTTGATGGATAGATTATTAGTAAAAAAGTCTGATGTGATAGGTAGGGTATGAAAAAGTAAGTGGTAAAAGTGACTTTTTAATAGAAATGAGAAGTGTTTTTAGGGACGGATGAAAAAAGAAAGGAGAAAGGTTTTCAGGGACGGAGGGAGTATTTTTTAAATATGTGATTTTATTTTTTAATTCTACATTATTTTTCATATAAAATTATTTGAAAATAACTCCAGTCAAACATCATAAATCGAAACACACGATTTAAATTGCGACAGTGAGATTATTATTTTTTTAAACGATTAGTTTCTGTGATCATTCTCTTTGAGTGGCCACAGAGGACACTGTCTCAACTAGGATACAAATGGTACTATGTTCGCAAAATTAGTAGTTAACCCCCNGTATTCTTACTAGTCACTTAAAGACACAGTAATTCTAGAACCGGATCGCTTTAAAAAAACTAGTATTTCTCATTCTTACTTTATTTGAAAATACATTCCCCTAAAGAGGGTATAACCTATCAACGTCGCAAAAAAGAACGACTCTTATTCACAAAAGTAGAGTCAATTTTAAAATTTATTTTTTGACAACATATATCTATCAAGTCTCTAAAAGAAAAGCGCGTTAAAGACATTTTCAAAAGAGAAGACCTTAACAAAACTCCTAGTTGAGACAGTGTCCTCTATGGTATTGAAAAAATAATTGAACCACACCAAATTACACTGTCACTTTGGCATTCATAACCGATACGAGGTAACTTTCTCTATTTAAAAATTTCATAGTGAATATATATATTAATGTATTTTAAAATACAACAATAATCACTTTACATGGAGTATTACTTGATTAAGTAATAAGTTTATTTTCAAAATTTGTTTCAAGTTTTATATATATCCCGTTTAATCAGAAAATTATTTTCGTGCACTCTCAATTTTCTAATAAGAGTTCCAAAATGCAACTCCGACGATTAAGCATCATTCAATTTATTTTTTCAGATAAAAGTAGGGGGAAACACCAAAGTAGGACAAAACATTAAAAATATACCAAAATAGGAATTCCATGTTTTTATTCTCAAATAAGACTTAAAATGCATTTACGTTACCAAACATGGTCATGTACATTACCAAAAAGTATACTAATGTGCACGTGTACAATGCCACATTACAACCACATTACCATAGTGTAAAGTCATATTTCGAGAAAAAAACATGAAAGTCCTATTTTGGTACTTTTCTCTATGTTTTAGTCCTATTTAGGGTGATTTCTAATAAAAGAATCATGTAAAAAGGTGATGACACATCAAATTTTTTATTTTTCATAATAAAAAGATGGGTTCTTTCTTCGAGGGCCCCCTTAGATTCGGTTGAACAGTCACTCATTGAGAGAACTCGAAGAAATCTACCTAACTAAATAAACGTAAACATTGAAAAGATGGCGTATAGTTCCAAACGAAAAAAACATATACTCGTAGCATAAAACGAACTTCATGCTCTCTTCAACTTAGATAAAAAGATTAAAGTAGGGATAAAAAATCGAAAATATATCAAAAAGCGAGTTCTATTTTTTTTTTCTCGAAGTATGAGTTAAAATACATTTACATTATTAATCATGATCATGTACAATGCCACATTACCACAGTGCGAACTCATATTTAGAGAATAAAAACATGAAAATCCTATTTTGGTATTTTCTCTATGTTTTATTCCTATTTAAGGTGATTATTTCTTTTCAACTTATTCTTAATTATTACTTACTCTCTCCGTCCAAGAATAAACTTTTCAATTACTATTATGGTATCTCGATAACTTATGTTTGTTTGTATATATATATATATTTCATCAATTATTTGATAAAATAAAATATTCATGTCATATCTAATTTTGTAAAACTTTTGATGTAGTTTTGAAGAATGTAATTTTTACTTTTTATGATATATTCCCTCCGTCCAACAATAAAGTTCTCAGTTACTATTACGGGATCTCTATAACTTATGTTTGTTTGCATAATTTCGTTAATTTTTTAATGACATAAAATATTTTTGTCACATATTATTTGGTAGAACTTTTGATGTACTTTTGAATCATGTAACCTTTACTTTTTTATGATATACCAATTTGTAAATAAAATTTTTTTTAAAAAGATAAGATTTTGCACGTTGTTCAAAATGTGAAGTTTATTATCGGACGGATGGAGTATCAATTTGAAAATAATATAATTTTTAAAAGATAAGATTTTTCATGTTGTTCAAAATGAGAAGTTTATTTTTCGACAAAGAAAGTATTAGTTTTTCTTATTGGTAACAGTTCCTATCAGATCATACAAGATCAGATCAAATCAAAAATGCTTTAAATATAACTATTTTCAGATCAGATCAAACTAGATCAAATCGAAATTTATCCCAATTAGAATCATTTATATCAGCCAAAGAGAACATGACTTAAGTGAATGGAGAAACTAAAAATAAATTATCACTCCGTAAACAGCTGGCAATAAATAAAGTTCTATACTTATGTTTATGTAAATGAAATAAATAATTTATTTGAGGAATATATATGGGTTTCCATCTCAAGCATTTACGGTTACCTTTTTTCCATAAGAGGAAACTGCCTTTGACTGCCCATATAATATATGTACAGTTTGCTAAGTATGTCTGTCACACAACAAAATACGAAGTAACTAAAGACATATACTTATGTTAATTTCGTTGATAAACGTAATTTAATTGAGATGGGCCCCACACTTCCCCACGTAGTAGAAGACTACCTTGGCCTCGTCAAGCTCTACAGCGACGGCACGGTTTTCCGGCCGGACGACGTCCTCACGCGCGTCCCGTCTCCGGTTCACGACGACTCTTCCGTCGCCTGGAAAGATACCCTTTTCGACGACGCCCACGGCCTCCACCTCCGCATTTACCGGCCACGTTCCGTGGCGGCCGCAGACGCCCTCCCCGTCGTGTTCTTCTTCCACGGCGGGGGGTTCTGCATCGGGTCCCGCACGTGGCCTAACCACCATGCCACGTGCGTCCGCCTATGCTCCGACCTCCGGGCTGTGGTTCTGGCTCCGGACTACAGGCTGGCGCCGGAGCACAGGCTTCCTGCGGCGGCGGAAGACGCTTTCAGCGCCTTGAAGTGGCTCGCCGGCCAGGCACAGGCTCAGAGCCCGGAGGGGGTTCTGGGGGAAGGGGTCGACTTTGGAAGGGTTTTCGTCGTGGGGTACGCCCCAGGCGGAAACCTGGCTCACCATCTGGCTGTTCGGCTCGGAGCGGGTTCGCAGGAACTGGCTCCGGTCCGAGTCCGTGGCTATGTGATGTTGGCTCCATTTTTTGGCGGGACAGCGAGAACCAAGTCCGAAGCCGAAGGTCCACCTGAACCATGTGTGAATCTCCAAATTATCGACAGGTGAGCAAATTAAAAATAAATTTCTCGATGACGTTTCTTAATTTTCTAATTCAATTAAAAAAATGAAGAAGAAGAATAATAAGCGGCTTAAATACATCCCCTAATTTGTGTTGTGCAATTGAAGGGGGTGATGGCCTGAGGGGTGTGTTCGGATCGGGGCAGGGGTTACTGGGGAATTAAAGAGAATAAGAACCGTCAATTTTACGTATTCCGTATTACATTTTGTGTATTCTTTTATCCATTTACATTGCATACTCCAAAAAATTTACATGAATACTCCAACAAAATAATAGTGTGCAAAGCTAGCACACTTTTGCAAAACTTTAAAGCTGGTAGACTAAGAGACTGTTTGACACTGTGCTGCTTTTAATAATTTAGTTTCTGCTTTGAGTTGAAGTAGTTTTACTCTGTTTGACATGTCAGCTTCTGTTTTTCATCACCACTATTGTGTACATAGAATATCGTTTCGGAGAGGCAGATATAAAGTGCTTTTGCTTTCAGCTTTTCTGGAAATTACTTTATGCACAAATTAATTACTCCCAAATAGCCTCTCAAAGTTCTTTAAAAGTCGCACACAGGGATTTCAACATTTGGTTTCTAGAATAAATATACTTGTAACAAAAACTTATGTCTCAAAGATTTATATTTACATTTTGTGTCAATATAAGTGTGAGATTGATTGCTTATATTGACAAAAAATAATCTTGCAATCGCACCAAAATTTTGTGTCAATATAAGTGTAAATTTTTGTAGTACATTTTGGGATACAATGTACCGTAAATTTTTACGGTACATTTACCATCCTATCCTTTATTATTATATATATAAATGAGACTTCAAGCTCTAAGGAGATGACATGTGGCATTGCTAGGAGCTGACATGTGACATTACTTAGAGCTGACATGTGTCATTACTTATGTGGTTATTTATGCAACCCAATTTATGAACTAAATAAAAAGAAAAGAAAATTATTTTTATATAGCCATTTCTAACACCTAATATGTCACATAATTTTGCATATGGAAAATATAAATTAAAAGTTTGGTAAGAAATATTTGATTAAATATAAATATGGGGAAAAAAATTCCGTTTTACAATAATATTCTTTCTAAATTCTATATTTTTTCTCTTTATTTATAAAAAATTTTTAGAATAAAATATAAAATACTCTCTTCACCTACAAATAAATTTATAACTATTTATTATACCTTTACTTGAAATTAAGTTTTTGATTAAATTTATTTAAATATTGGCACCTAATAAATAAATTTCTTTCTTGACCAATAAATAACTTTAATATTAATTTTGACAGCTAATAATCTAATATTCCACTCAATTAAAAATATAAAAAATGTGATATCAATATTTTGGTATGAAATCTCTGAATAAATTTAAGTATGTAAATGAAACATTCGTTTTAATGATAGTATCCTTTCCCAATTCAAAACTTTTTACTCTCTTATTTTATAATAAAATTTTCAACCAATAGATAAGATGGTTTTTAACTTCTAAATCAATTTGATGCAAGGTTTTGTTGATGATATGTTAGAACGAAGTTAGTTTTGATTTGATTCATTGAAATACTGATGTACAATTTAAAACACACAATATATTTGTAAATTTACATCAAAAGATATATAGAATAAGAGATGATTAAACTATAATTATATTACAATAGAAAAAAAATATTGTGCGTAATTTCATAGTTCGATTATATTGAATTATGATTTGACTTTATTATATAAAATTTATAGTTTATAGTCCTTAGACTATTTATGATTTAAATTGAAAAATATAATATTCTTAGTCATCTCTTATGAATTATGATGTGATATTTTTAATTAAAGTATAGTTAACAATTGATATAAAAAATGTGTTACCAAGACATACTATATTTAAAAGAACATTCTTTATGATTTCAATATTATGAAACAAATTTAATTATGAAAAATAGATCATCACTTTCATTAGAATACACTTTTTAAAGTTTTATATTTTTTCACAACATTTATAATAAAACTATCAATGAATAAAAGAGATTTCTTTCCTTTAAAATAGATACTTTCATAACCTCTAAAAAAGCATATTTTTATGAAACGCTTAAATGAATTTAGTTTTTATTTTATTTTTTAAATATTGTTATAAAATAAAATTTTAAAAAAATATATTTTGATCTCTGCATCAAACTACTACAAACGACTAGTCTATTTTCAAAATGGTCAAATATTTAAATCAAATAAATTAAAAAATGAGTAATTTTGTACTCAAATAAAAAGAAAAAACACAAAAAAAACTATAAATATTTTTGTAAATTTCTACTCAAAATTATAAAATCACTAATATTTTTTATATTAATTTCTTTAATTAATGTAAATGAATAGAATCATTGGATTTTAATAATTTTTATTTTTATTTTTTGAATTATAGGATTTCTAATCTAAGATATAATTTTTTTGCTTATGCTTGGAGAGAAGAATCATTTCGATATTTTTTAATCAATGCCAGAGAGGAAAATCATGATGATACGTGAGAGATGAATAATACTCCCTCCGTCCCCAATTTGATTACAAAATGCGGGTTACGGAATAAAATTTTCTATTGTTTGAAATCATTTTATTTACAAATTGGTATATCAATAAGATATAAAAATTACATATTTAAAAACTACGTCAAAAGTTCTACAAAACAAGAGGTGACAATAATATTTTATTTTATCAAATACTTAATGAAATCGCGTATACAAACAAAAGTTATCAAGAAGAATCATATGCAGTGGGAGTATTTATTTTGCTATTCAAAATTAAAGCAGTGACGCAGGATAGAAGAATCATATTATTTGAGTCATAACTAATGCAAGGAGAATAATAATAGAATCACCAATAATAGAATCACCATTATTATGATTTAGTGAGTGAGAGTAAAGTCGGGTTGGAAGTATGAGTTTTAGATGTTTTTGGTAGTCTTTTATAACATCACACAAAAATGTTATATACTTTAATTTTTCAAAATGTTCTAATTTAAATAAGATTCTGACATGTTAATTTTCAAATATATATATATATATATAGTATATATTTCATTAGCAAATATTATATTTCCTCTATCCCATAAAACTCTTCTCTTTTCTTTTTTCATCCGTCCCAAAAAAACCTTTCTCATTACTATTAAAAACTCACTTTTACCGTTATCAATTCTTAACCTGTCTATCATATCATAGTTTTCACTATTAATCTACCCATTACATTTTATTTTTACCCATCTTATAGAAGGACATTTTTGAAAGATCAACATCAAAATAAATCATTGAAAAATCAAAACAAGAAAAGGTATGTGATATGGAAGAAGTATATTTTATCATTGTTCTAACTTTTAATGTTGATGTTTTATTTGGTATATACAATTTTTTAAAAATGTTGTAGCAAAGAAAAATTAAAAATTCGTTCCCCGTGCATGGCACGGGTTAAAAGACTAGTATATATATATGTAAAAGAGAGTTCAATTGTTGTAGTGTTGACATGTGGCATGCCACATGTGCATCCACATGTGCACTCACTAATGATGTGGATTTATGCATTTTAATTCATTGGTCCATTTTGATTTTTTAAAAAGATCTTTGAATACATTTGCATAAAACTTTTTCATTTTTTAATAATTCTATAAATATATATTTCATCATTGTAAAATATACTCCATTATATATATATATATATATATATATATATATNATTCATATTATGTTCATATATGAATTGAACTTTTAACAAACATCCAAAATGTTAACTTATAATATCTATGTTAACATATAGATATATTTTATAGAGAAATATGCGAGCTCGTGCCAAGATCCTCTCCCCTGGCCTTTTCCCAAAATTAGAGAGTGGATTAATAGAATGTAAAGTTGAAAAAACACATTATTCTATCTTTATTGCACACATATTTTTGCAATGATATTTCATTAATTCCAAATTTAACATTACAGATGACAGATGTTTGTAAAACAAGATAGATGTGACATGATCGATTATATAATCTTTTTTAATTGGAGCATTATAATTCTCAAAAGTTTCATGCACATGCAAATTTAATTGGATTAATATTTTCATGCAGATGTATGTATAAACAAGATATGATAAGATTATATATATATATATATACACATATACATACACACATACATACATACATACATACATACATATATATATATATATATATATATATATATATATATATATATATATATATGAGGAATTTACTTAAATAACATTAAAACATAATGACTTTCCTTAAATAGCATCACATGTGTTTTTTCTTAATGTAGCACTTTTAGACATTATCCATTATTCATTATTCAAGTAAATTTGCGCCATCATTGGACATTATGGACATTATTAAATGCTATTTAGGGAATACAACGATTTAAGTGCTATTTAGGAAAATGACTTAAGTTTTAGTGCTATTTACTGCAAATATTTCTTTTTTTAACTGGATTAATATTTTCCTAAAAAGTTTCATGCACATGCAAATTTAATTGGATTAATATTTTCATGCAGATGTATGTATGTAAAACAAGATATGATAAGATTATATATATATATATATATATATATATATATATATATATATATATATATATATATATATATATATATATATATATGTGAGGAATTTACTTAAATAACATTAAAACATAATGACTTTCCTTAAATAGCATCACATGTGTTTTTTCTTAATGTAGCACTTTTAGACATTATCCATTATTCATTATTCAAGTAAATTTGCGCCATCATTGGACATTATGGACATTATTAAATGCTATTTAGAGAATACAACGATTTAAGTGCTATTTAGGAAAATGACTTAAGTTTTAGTGCTATTTACTGCAAATATTTCTTTTTTTAACTGGATTAATATTTTCCTAAAAAGTTTCATGCACATGCAAATTTATGTACCACGACGATAGGTTTTGGAGACTGGCGTTGCCGACGGGGCAAAACACAGACCACCCGATGGCGAACCCGTTCGGGCCCGAAAGCCCGAGCCTGGAGAGAGTGAGACTTGACCCGATCCTGGTGATGGTCGGGGGCAAAGAGATAGTGAAGGACAGGGTGGAGAACTATGTGATGAAAATGAAAAGCTTGAAGAAGGAAGTGGACTATGTTGTGTTCCAAGGGGAGTACCATGGCTTCTTCATCAATGACCCCTTCTCCGACGTCGGGGATCTTGTCGTCCAAAAAATCATGGATTTCATGTCAAAAGTGTAACGCTCCGTTTGGTATATGGAATTTAAGTCGTGGAATTGGAGTTCGGGACTACAATTTCTATTCAATTTCAATTCCGACAATTCTGTGTATTAAACGGACCCTAATTCTATTCGTGTGTTGTATGGAAAGAAAGTGTACGTGCATGTGCATGTAAAATAAAAACGAACGCCTGAAAAACTCGATTTGGTCATATTATGGGTTTTCAAAAGTTATGTGGTTTTTTTAAGTGATTAGCAGATTGATTGCATGTAATAAAATGTTAAGTAGTGTATTACTCCTTCCGTCCTAAAATTAATTTCCCATTTTGACTTTTGCAGTCACAGTTTTAAAACTTTGATTGCATATTACGGAAAACATATAATGAATTTTCATATAAATTTAATATCAATAGATTCATTTTGAAAGTGCCGCATTGGAGACCGTGAAAAATCAAATGAGAAGTTAATTTTAGGACGGATGGAGCATTTTCAAAGGGATTTAGGCATTGTTTGGGTCAGGGAAGAAAAGGAGAAGAAAGAAAATAGAAATGAAAGACAGTGAAGAGAAAATAGAATGGAAAGAAAATAGATGTTAGTTGGATGTAGAGTAAAAGAAGAGAAAAGTAAAGAGAAGAAAATATGATATTGTAATTACATCTTTATCCTTATTGTTTTTTTTTGAAAGAGCACAAAACATATCAAAAAGTAATTTAATACACTTTCTCTCCTATGTTTTCTCTTTCTCCTCTGTTTAGGAGAGGAAAAAAAAAAACGAAGCAACTCAGCTCAGCTGGTTGTGGAGTTACCCTTCCAGAGGAGAGGTCTCGAGTTCGAGTCCCACTCTGCGCCAGTGGAACTATGCCTCCCCAAAAAACCCTTCAAGTGGTAGGGCCAAGCAGTGTATACTAACCCGTAGGGCCAAGCCAAAGTTGGGTTTCTGGGGTATGGGGCCGCGAAAGCGGTGGGGCTAGTCACTATAAAAAGTTTACCCTACCACAGTTTGCCCGCATGGGTAGCTCAGTTGGTCAAGAGCGTGAAATCTTGGACCGATGACCAGGGATCGAATCCCGCAAGCGGCAGTGTGAGAGCTATCCAAAAATCCCATAAAGGGTGAGGAGGCTCCTTGTGCGCGGTGGGCACGGGTCTAGCGTTCTTGGCCGACTGAGTCACCATGATTTACATCCTCCACCATTCCTGTCGGGCAAGGGGGTGGGGGCGCCTGGGGTGGGCGATTCCACCTTTTGGACCGAGGAGAGAAAATATTTAGCTTCACTTTTCCATCTCCTTTCACTTCTATCCAAGTTTGCAAAAGAGAAGAAAACGCATTAAAATACTCCGTCTGTTTGTTAAAACACTTCCTTTAAACGAAGTATAATTTTGCGTGAGAATAAATGGGTAAATTTCAGTAATGATACCTGAACTTTCACTCGAATTTCGAAGTGGTACCTAAACTTCAAATCCTTTCACAAAAATCTCTGAACTTACATAATCCTTTCATTAAAAGTCCATTTACCCGTTTTCGGGTAAACTTCCGGTCATTTGGGCTAAAATTAGAATTTTATATATTTTAAAATTTTCAATTTGACCTCATTTATTCTTCTTCTTCTTCTTCCTCACCCCACCCCACTATAAATGGGCTGCACTACTCTGACGCTGCCGTGATTTGGGCAAATCAAACCCTCCTCCTTCCTCTCCCCGCCGTCGGCGTCTTCTTCGACGCTGAAAGATGACTACCAAAGTGGTGGACGCTGAAAGATGATTTAGTCTATAAATTTAATGTGTTGTTTTTTAAACCTTTTTATTTACTATTTGAATACTACTTCTATCCGAGAATTATAATTACAGTTGGACCTCTAGATAACTTTTGTTTAATTTCATCGTTCTTGATCATATGATAAAATAAAACACAATTCTCACATTTTGTTTGTTTTAATTTGAAAAAATATTTAATGTGTACTTTATACTTTTTATGTATGTAGCAATTTGTAAACAAAATAGTTTTAAAAGATATGAGATTTCACCCACTTTTCATAGTGAGACGATAGTTTTGAAATATGGAGAGCTATTTTTTGAGATTAAGTTCATTATCTTTTCAATTCAAAGTGTATGTATCAAAGTTTTAGGGTGAGGTGACCCCTATTACCTAACTTCCTGGATCTGCCACTGATGTTCATTAGACATTATTCTTCCTTCTAGATATTATTAAGTGATATTTAGGGAATAAAACAGTTTAATTGTTATTTAGAAAAACGATTTAAGTTAGTGTTATTTAGTGCAAATATTTCTTCAAAAAATATGAACAAATACTATATTATTGTCAATAAATCTCAAATAATATATGAAGTAGATTTCACTTCATATTTACTTTCTGTCCTAAAAAATTTATATTTAAATTTTGAGATAATTAAAACGGCACTTTACTTACTACATAGTATTAGCTATAAGTGTAAGTACACCCTCCGATCATAAATAATTTTTCTACTTTGATCAACCACTCAAATTTAGATAAAGTGAAAGTGGAGTTGACCTTCCCAAAATGCCCCTCTTCACTCCACTAATTAACCTCCCACACACGCCACACTCATAGCCCAACAGAACCAACACTGCCGCAGCCTTCTTCCACTGGACGTCGCAACTGCTGACACTCATAAACCGCAGTTAACCAAGAAACATAGATGGATTAAGCTATCTATACCCCAACATTTATACCCCAATTTGTACCCCGTAGGTTTGCACTAACATTTTGTGTTGGTATAAAACTAATTTTTGTTAACGCACCAACATTTGCGTCCGTGTAAATTTTTGTTAACGCACCAACACTTGTGTCGATGTAAACCATCAAAATATTTGTGCAAAACTGTGGTGTACAAATGGGATACAATTTTTTGGTGTAAGTGTAGCATGGTCCAACATAGAAACACCGCTCAAGATCGTAGCCAAAATCAAATTCGTCCATCTTCTGCTCGACACTGGCCGGCAACACCAGAACAATACGGAGAATGTCACCTCTAGTTTTGTAGATTTTTTGATATAGTTTTTTAATACCTAATTATTAATTATAAATTTTACACCATTTTTCATATAAAATGATTTGAAAATAACTTCAGTCAAACATTATAAAGCGCAACGGAAAGTTTATTTGTGGACGGAGTGAGTATTACAATTAAATATATACTTCACATATATTTTTATAATTTATTATCAAAGTTTGTAGAATTTGATAAAAAAAATTAAATCTAAAAGTTATTTTAAGAGTGAAAGTATGGGTTAATATAGCATGGGCACTCCCCGTGTTTTACAAAAAAAGCGTCAAAACCTTCCTGCTTTCAAAAGTTATTTGTAAAGTCCCTGTGGTTTCTAAATAGAGCACACGTGCCCCCTTACCTATTTTTAAAGCAAAAATGACATTTATGCCCTTTGTTTTCCCCGATCTTGAATTTTTACGATTTTAATTTCCTTTATTATACAAATATATAAAATAAAATATATGCTTCCCATCTCAAATTAGAAATTTTCATAATGTACTTTTGAAAACAAAATATTTTTTGGAGAATGTTACAAAAAATGAAAAAATAAAATATTATGTACAAAGTAAAAAGTAATAACAATTAAAAAAAGTAATGAAAAGAAATAAAAATATAAAAAATAGTCTTTTTCTTTAACTCCATATTTTATTTTATCTTTCTATTCTTCATTTTTAAAGTCCTTAAAATTATTTTATTTTTAAAAACAAATAAGTTAGAATTTTTAACTAGAGATAGAGTGAGTATATGTTATCCAATTTTTTATTTTATTTATTTTACTTTTACTTATAATGAAAAAGTGTATTTTATTTTATTTTTGTAACATTTTCTAAAAAATTATTTTTTTAAAAAAATTAAATAAATGAAAATTTTTAATTTGAGAAAGAGGGCGTATATTATATTTTATTTATTTGTATAGCAAAAAATGTAAAGAAAAGAGTGAAATTTGAAGATAGAGAAAAGCCAAGGACAGAAATGTCATTTCATGTGTAAAATAGGAAAGAGGGGGTATCCGTGCACCATTTAAAAACTACGGGGTTGTACAAATAACTTTTGAAAGCAGAGGAGGTTTTGGCGTTCCTTTTGTAAACCACGGGGGGCACCCATGCTTTTATTCCCTAAAATAATTTTAAGGACTTTAAAAATGAAGAACAGAAAGATGAAATAAAATATGAAGTTAAAGAAAAAGACTATTTTTTATATTTTTATTTCTTTTCATTACTTTTTTTAACTGTTATTACTTTTTACTTTGTACATAATATTTTATTTTTCATTTTTTTGTAAGATTCTCCAAAAAATATTTTGTTTTCAAAAGTACATTATGAAAAATTCTAATTTGAGATGGGAAGTTTATATTTTATTTTATATATTTGTATAATAAAGGAAATTAAAATCGGAAAAAAATTCAAGATCGAAGAAAACAAAGGGCATAAATGTCATTTTTGCTTTAAAAATAGTTAAGGGGGCATGTATACTCTATTTAGAAACTATAGGGACTTTACAAATAACTTTTTGAAAAGAGGTATAATTTGACGGAGTAATGATTATTGTCAAAAAAGTACTCCACTACGGATTTTTTTTTGGCATTCTGGAAACAGAAACAAAAACTCCATATGTAGCTTCTTTCTTATCCAGCCTCCCTCTTCC